AACCAGTGACAGTGCTGTCTGATAACTACAGAGCACATATAACCTGCAACACCTGCCTTTGAACTAAGGTGCCTGTTTTGGAGCAAGTCTTGCTTTTGGTTTTTGAACTGAACACGCTGCTGGGTGCCAAAGCATGCACCCCCCACAAACACCCACAGAAACCCCAGCTGCAAACCCCATCCCCTAACAGTCAAACGAGCTGCACAAACACCTGTGTCGGAAAGAAAAATCACTTTATCTACCACGGTGAGCTCCTCCACAAGAGTTTTTTAAGGATTGCTATCAGCTGCAAGCAAGCCAACGTACCTCTTCGGTATCTTTCCTCTGATTCCTCAGCCTGCTTCAGGGCGGTTTCTTCAGCGACGGTGATGTAGGCGTTAAGCAGCTTGGTGCTTTTGATGAGAGCCAGGCACTTGTGGCAAAGCTCCGTCGGAGTGACCTGCCCTTCCTTCAGCGCTGCCGAAACCTGCAAGGATATTCGCCCTTTTCAGCGGCACGCTGCCCGTGCGCTAAAACACCTCCCAACCACCACCACAATCATTATTACTAATAATATTACCACCACGACCTCCCCGGGCCGCTCACCTGGCGGAGGGAAGCTCGCAGCATGGCTTCCCCGCGACCACCACCACTCCTCCTCCTCCTTCTCCTCAGCGCCTGGGCGCCGCCATCTTGTGGCAGCCCCCAGCGGCGCCATTGGCGGCGGCAGCGAGGCGCCGGCCGCGCATTGGGCTGCGGGGCGAGGGAGGAGGGCACCGGCACCGGGACAGGGACAGGGATTGGGATCGGGACCGGGACCCCGGGGAGGATGGGGCGGCTGCCGGCCCTGCTGGTGCGGGTGCCGGTGCGCTGCTTCGGCGGCTCTCCGCGGGCGCGCTCCGCCATGCCCTCCTGGGTGATCGACCGCTACGGCCGCAACGAGGTGCTGCGCCTCAGCAGGGAGATGGCCCTGCCCGCCATCCAGTTCCCCAACGAGGTGGTTGTCCGGGTGCACGCCGCCAGCCTCAACCCCATAGACCTTAGCATGAGAAGTAAGTGACGGGGACCGGGCCCCCCGGGGCGGCTTCGGCGGGGCCGTGAGGTGAAATCCTCGCGTGTCGCCCCGGGCAGCTCCCGCTGGGCTCCTGGCCCTCTGCCCTGCCACAGGGGTGTTAGCAGGGGGTGGCCTCCCCTGGCAGGCTCCCAAATTCCCCTCTCTTTGGGGTCAGTGAGGCTGAAGGTCAAAAGCACCTCAGTGTGGGTGAGCTGCCCCGAGCCATGCTGCACGTTGCCTTCTCCCGTCGTCCCCAGCTGGCACCATGAGCTGACCCAGGAAGCCCATAGCTTTGGGTGACTCTGTACTTGACACGTTTCATCTGATTTTTCCTCAGTTTCAGGCTTCAAATTGCAGGAAGGCTGCAGTGAGGAAGGCCCCGTGCTTCATGCTGAGAAGGGATCCTGCCTCAGATTCAGCAGCACCTGCAAAAAGCCCATTGACAGAGCTGTAATGTGTGTTTGGGGTCTTTAACAAATGAATTTTAAGACATCCTCATATATAATCTTGATTTTCATTATGTGACATTTGCTATCTGAGGATTGCAGTTGTCACCCGCGTGAGCTACTAGGATGCAACTGGTATTTTGAGTTCAATTTAAATTATTTGGAAGAAACTACGTTTTCATCCTGCTTCACAGGTGTCAGCTTTTGAACCCGTTTCATTTCAGTATTAAAACACTTTCTAGCACAATAGGTCACATAGGCAGACTTTTCCAAATAACTTGAAAGGACATACACGCCCAAATGCAGATTTATTTTTATTTTTATTTTTCTGAGGCTGAGAAGTGTTATTGGATGTGTAGTTTCTGGACACCACAGCATTTAGCTATTCCGTACTCAATAGAAGTTAAGATTACTCATCTTAATATATGTTCCTTAATTTTTACAATGGTGTTTATGTTGCTTTGTTTATAGTACTCTACTTGAAAAGGTGAATTGAAAGTTTGGAGTTCTTTTGGATTCCTAGCTACATGATGTTGTTGGAAAATGGAGCATGTCCAGCAGAATTTTTAGAATTTCTGACTGTTAGTGCATATTAAATATTTTTATAACAAAAAGCCATTTTCTGTGGAGTGATTAAATCATGACAACAATTTATTTAATTGTTATGTGGTGATTTGTGTTCTAGCATGTACTGTGTGCTCTTAATGGGGGGAGGGCAAATAGGCCATAATTGAGGTTTGCTCTTTATTAGTAAAATCTGTAAAAATACTGAAGGTTTTGTACATGCTTGAATCATAAAAGAAATACAGAGTGTACTGAAAATGAGGCATATTATGTACATACTATGCCTTCTAAACTGAATTGTCCACTTACTGAATTAATTTAATGTTTTTTAGGTGGTTATGGTGCAACGGCATTAAATATGAAGCGGGATCCCCTGAAAATCAAAAGCACAGAAAATGAATTTCCACTAACGCTTGGTCGAGATGTCTCTGGTGTTGTCATGGAATGTGGACTAAGTGTGTCTTATTTCAAACCTGGAGATGAGGTGATGTCACTAATCTGATGTTTACTACAAGCATATAGTTAAAATATACCATGAGCTGTTCAGCTTTCATTTCCCTTAGTTCATTTATTTTTTTTGAAAAAGTGTATTTTATACATGGTATAGTTTACTTATATAACTCAGTAATCCTTCCTTGACTTGCTCTTTTGATGTTTTTTGTTTAAAGAGTAAGCTAAACTGGCATCTGATGAGCAACAGTGAAGACATTTTGCAAATTGGAGAAAAAAAAAATCTTTAATGAATGTAACTTTTTGATATAGGTATAATCTTTTCTAAAGTCACAAAAGTTGATTGTTCTTTTTCTGTTTGTTTTTAGGTATGGGCAGCAATTCCTCCATGGAAACAAGGCACTCTCTCAGAGTTTGTGGTAGCTAGTGCAAATGAGGTAAACCTGCAAAAATGTGACTAACAGACAAAAAGCCCAAACTATGAATACTGCTGTTCTCTCTTTTTTTTTTTTTTCCCCCCCCTTGGTGCATAAATAACTGTTTCTTAATGCTTGAATTGATCTCGACTCCTACTAGTTTTGAATCTTCATGATGGTTGAAAACGTGGAATACACGATCTGCAATTCAGTAAAGCTTGTTTAAATATTTCAGTGTCACACAGGATCTACTGGGTGACTTAGATAAGGTTGATTTTATTTCAGGTGTCTTTTAAGCCCAAATGTCTCAGTCACACAGAAGCTGCCTCCTTACCATATGTAGGTCTTACCGCCTGGTCTGCCATTAACAAAGTCGGAGGACTGAACCAAAGTAATTGTAGTGGGAAAAGGTAAGTAACCCGTTCTGGTGCTAAAACTTAAGTGTTTCATTTTTATACTGATTAGCAGCTCGTAAGACGTGTCTGGCAGTGATGAAGGCTGTTGTGACATCCACAAAGATCAGATGACCTGAATATTTTAGGGTCAGACTGTGCAAATGCTAAGGAGGGGGCTACTGTAGAGGGAGATTGAGATGTGGAGCCTAAGTGAAGTTTTACTAGTCATAGGTAGGGGAAGCCTCGCTTCCCTTGCGTATAATATAAGGTATGTGTACTGTATTTGACTATATAGAGAATTTAAGGATGGTATCTTTAGAATTTAAGGATGGTATCAGGACTTCGCCTTTCTGCTTGCTAGGACAGCTATCCCAGAATAATTCTCTCTGTTATCTTGACAGCTCACAAAAGGCCTTCTTAATCACAGTGCTGTTCACTTAGTTGCTCGATGCCTGCACACAGAAACCATTTGGGGCAGACTGGTTTTCCAGATTTTTAGAAAAAAACAGGTGACTGGGTCTCATTTGACCCGTGGGACAGAACTTTAATGAGGTCAGGAAGGTAGAAGAGGAGGGGAAAACAGGCAAGACTAGCAGCCAAATAGAAGAAATTGGCTTTGTTTATCGCCCTGTTGATCTGACAATAGCAGATGAAGGAGCAGAAGAAAAATGCATTGAAAAATTGGAGCAGGTACCATTTTTCTCCTGATAAGGGAAGTTTGCTGCTATTTTGGCCTTCAGATGTTTGTGTTAAGTAGATAGCAAAATGTTCTGAACAGAAAGAAGGGCAAAAGTAAAAGTACTGAAGCTGAAAAATAATAGTTAAAACAGCCTTGCTGCATCAAAAGTTTAAGTCATAAAAGAATAATTGGGCAGCAGGAGTCTGGTTACCTGACCTTTTATCTTGGGTGTTACTGTTGTAATGCAACACATTGTAAAGGACACTAGACTTACTGAAATTCTTAACCCACCTCTTTAGAAGGTAATGGAGGGAGGGGTTGTTCATGTATCACAGTGAATTTCATCATGAAAATATGAAGTGATTGTTTGCTCTAAAGATAAACAATGTATTGAGAAAATAAATGGCAAAATTTGAAACAGTTTCAGAGACATCACTGAAATTAACTTAAGCTAGTGATAAAATTCCGAATGTATCATCTCCCTTTTTATTTCTTAAGTGTTTAGATTATTTTGTCTTCCATATGTAAATAGAATTAATGTTGGTAGGCTAGCCTTGTTTGAAGTATCTTTCCAGTTTTCAGATAAGCATTTTGATTGTTCAAAGTGAAATGCAAACTCCATTTACATTACATATTTACCTTTAACATTTACTTTTATGTTCCCAGTAAGTATTTAAATATTCTGTCAGCAAAAACATTTTTATGTACTTATAAAATTACGGTGTTTCTCATCTAGAACTTTTGAGTTGTAAAAACAGCAAAGAATGACTTATGTGATTTTTTTTTTCCGTGAGAAGTTTCTTGTAGGAAAATACATATAATGCAGTAGAGCAGCTATGCAGAAATATATTTCATGAACTTTATATTAACCTTGCAAGGCAGTAATCTTATAAGGCAAGAATTTACATCATGTTTCTTAATTTCTTGAAATAATTGAACATATTAGTAAGAAGTTACCTACATCAGTAATTTTATGTTGGTCTTTTTGTCTCCTGTAGGTGTTTGTAAATAGCTATGTAGGAGGGTGTTTATGCACACACGAGTGTGTCTTATATTGAAAGAGCATCTGTATTCCTTGATGAAAGCTCCTTCACTGATACTTTATTGCAGTGTTAAGACATCTTAAAAACAGCAAGTTTTTCTATTGGTGTGTATTGTTTTCTTTGCCTTTTTAAAGTGGAAGGGTGGGCTAAACTAGAAATACTTGTTATCAGTCCAACACTGATTGTATTTTGGTCTGTCAGGATTACTTTCTGCATCTGCACATGCTTTCACAAAATTTTACAAGTTATAAACCACTGTGATATATGTAAATATTCTTACACAAGGTAAAAGTGAATGTGCTTGTTACCCACAGTGTTCAGAATGACTCCGTTGTTTTGAAGTTCTCTGTGGATAACAACCTGGAGAGCTCATGTGTGTGAGGGCCCTGTTTCAGTAGAAAGGAGATATGCCTGTCAGCAATAGCTGCTAAATCTTGCATGCTAAAAGCATGCTAAAAGCAAACCTGATAATTTGAGAAGTCCTGGAAAACTTTATGTTGATATGAAACAAGAATCTTTATCTAAAATACAAAGTCAACATTTCATACATGTGAGTATGGCGGGGAGAGATACATCAGGATTCTGCTACTCCAAGCTATTAACGTTACACTTCTCGTTCATATCTTTGCAGTGAAAAATAATATAGTACCCCAAGAAAATGTGTTTTTTTCAAAGGCTGTTTGTTATTTCATCATTTTATCTGTTGAGAAGTACAAAGTGAGTGTAGGTTGTAATATTTCTTGATAGGGTAAATGCTTCTTAGTACAAGATTAACTGTTAGGGAGATTTTGTTGGCTTAACCAAATGGAACTTTATTTTATATTGTAACAGCTCCTGCACCTTCAAACACTTCCCACGTCCTTAAGTTATGCCAAACAGAATGCCTTGTCCCCAGCACTGTAAAAACACTCAGCTGTTGAGCTGTGGCACACGATCTCCTGTTTTTACAAGGGCTTTTGAGCTGAAAAAAATCCCTGCGTGCAGATGTGTGACAGCCACAGCAGCACACACGCAGCCCAGGGCAAGTGCTGTGGAGTGTGCTGACAGTCTCCTGCAGGTGACCTGTGAGCAGTGTGGGTGGCAGTCACTTGACACTTGGCCTGGAGGGTGCTAGATTGCTCTGTGGGGTGTAGGCAGTTTGTCTCTGAAATAAAGAGCTTTCTTAAAATCACTATGTTTGAGGGAGCTTTAATAATGAGAAATTTTGGTAGGAAGTAGCCCACGTAACGTAGGAAGAAAGCAAATCTGGACCAGATTTCTACCTCAGGAATCTCAAGTGTGTCTATTGAAGTTGTAGCCAAGCAGCTCCCCACAACTGTAACTATTCTTGCTATGTAAATCCTTGAGCAGGATGTATGTTTTGAAATTAGAGCTTTGGAAACACAGTTTAACAAGTTTTGTTTGTTTTTGTTATTATTTTTTTTAAAGGAGTTAACTGTGACTGTCCTTTGTAGCATCCCGGAGTCTTTTCAAGGATAATCTGAATATTAATGTTGCTTCAGATGTCTGTTGTTAGAAGCATGCTTCTGAGCATAAGTACATTTTGGCAGGTTTTAAAGTGGCAGGCATTGTGGTTTCAGATTCTTCATCTGAATTTTTGCAGTTTGGATCAGTGAAATAGGGAACGGAATCTGATGAGTTACAAAAGAGTATCCCTTTTAGAATGGGTATTGTTACCAAAGCCAAGTCTCTTAGGTTACTTCAAAGAATTTTAGTAAACTGAAACTGCAGATTGTATAGCACAATTTTGACTGTAAAAGCAATTTCCCTCAACATCCAGCACAGGGAGATTTAAAACAGGAACATCACCAGCTTTTGAAGGTACTGAAATTTTTCTGGCAAACTGAAGTTTTGAGCAACATGATGCTTCACAGCCCTATGCCAAAACTGCATCTTGGATGTTTCTTTTGTTCTGGAATTAGCAAATGGGTCCAAAGTTGATGCACTGTGGCTTCATCTGCAAGGCTTTCTTACTAATTCTCTTTCTGAAGTTTAGTTTATAGATTAAAATACTAATGAAATTTTTGAGCAGTGATTAGGCTGCTAACAGTAAGTTTCTCACACCCCTTAAGTTGAATTCTTTTCTATAAAATTTAGGAGAGTACGTTCAGTTAAAAGGAACTCTCACTGGATAATACCTTGGTAATAAATGCTTTATTTTCTTGCTTGTGTGGCTGTTAAAACAAACGGACATTTTACAGTGTCTTGTCGAGATATGCCAAAGTAGAAAAATTCTTCTGCCTTTATCTGAAGAAAAAGACAATTTAATAGAACTTGTTTATGGGGCTTCTTCACTATATTTTGTCTTCTAGATAAATATTCAGCTGATACACTGGAAAATTATGTTCCATATATTCTGAAGTCCCCAGTCCCTCTAAGTAATAGGCTACTAAACCAGTTCTTCTGTTAGATAACATCAATTTATGTTAAAATGTCAGCAAATCATTTTTATTTTTATTTTTTAATTTAGAAAATATGACAGTGGAATCTGTGAGATGGAAACATTCTTACTGACTTTGTTCTGAACTAAGCAATTATTTTGGGGAAAGTGTGTATGGGAACAGGATTTTCTGGTGATCAGTATTAATGCTGACAGCTCCATTGCCTGGACTGAATGGAAAGCATATGTGAGGAGGTCTCTTTGGCTGGGCTGAGGGAATGGTGATGGCACAGGAAACAAGATCAGAGACGTTAAGTCACATTACTAGGTATCCGAAGAGTTCACTGTTAAGTAACACTGAGTGAAAAATACCATCTTTTCCTTAGAGTAATCTTGGAGATGAATAAGAAGCATTAGAATATGCAGTTGCTATGCCAAATATTTGAACTATTTAATAAATTTTAATTTTCTCTTACAGAGTGTTGATATTGGGAGCTTCAGGAGGAGTCGGTACATTTGCTGTACAGGTAATAGAGCACAGCACACACAGGGTACATCTTCAAACTATTCAGTACAAACAAAATTTAACAGAAGGGAATTGAGGGAAGGAGAAATGAAATACCAAGCTACCGACTGATCTGTCGGATCTCCAAAAGCGAAATACCTTGAAATTTACTCCTTTCCCTTTGTTATATTGTATTAGGTTAAAGTAGGAAGCAGGGAGTTTCAAAGAAAGGCGCTGTGAGTGTAGGCAGTGAAAGATTGCGCTTCACCGTTCAGGAACAGGAAATCTCTTGATTTGTGAAACCTGAAATATGTAGCCTGTTTTCATTATCTTTCAGTCAGCTCTGCTCCATACATATGAAAAGAACTTGATGTATGAGGAGAAAAATGATGGAGAATGTAGATGATTGCAGTTGTGATTTTCCGTAATATCTTACTATGTTTAGCTGCTGTGGGTGGTCAGATGATGTAAGAGGCATGAGGCTTTTATGTGCAGTGTATGGAATGGCTTAGATTAACGTTCCCTCACTCTTTGCCCTGCTGCCTTTTTGCCTTCCTTCATTCCAGTAGTCCTAAACTTTGGAGAGCCAACATAGTCTTGTGTTGATCCTTTAACTGTGGGACATCCTCTTTTCATGCTCCCATTTAACTGGGGGATTTTGATCCTCAGTGGTGTCATCATGAGCAAACATCTTCCTCTTGAGAATATGGAAAATGTGTGGGTTGTGTGCTTGCATCACCGTGTTCTGTGTTACTGGACCATAAGCAAAATGGTTTCAAGAGGCTCATAAGAGAATTTTTAGTGATACGTTTTTTGCCTGATCCATGATGAAGCAAGTGGCAGTAGAAAAGGCCAACGAGCCACTGACTACTTGTGATTTATACCTGATTCATGCTGGTTAAACTATGTAATTAATCCAGAGTAAATAAAAAAAAAAGATTGAATGAAAATGAGAATTACAGAAGAGATAAATACCTAGCAAAAGTCCTTACTCTGCTTTAACTTTGGGAGTAGTAGATAACCTGACATCCTCCCTGTGTAAATCAGAGGTGACTATTTCTTAGTATTAAAATTGTATTTATTTACAGTGAGATAGAGGTATGGAATACTTAATGAGCAGGTACAAAGATAAAATGTTTTAATCCCTACAGTGGTTGATCTGCTGACAGGTTTACAGATTGTTAGCTATATAACTGTAGAGTAAGAGTTATTGTCTGAGTTACCGGATTCAGAAAGCAAACTGAGTATTTTATTTGAAGTCTTACTTACCCTGAGACCTGGTATTTTCAAGCAGAATTAAAAAACCCACCCTCCTCGCCCACACCAGCTCCTCACTCCTTAAAAATGCCTTAAATATGAATAAATTCTAGCCGTGTGACAAGTCACTCTGTGTTGGAACAGTCCCCCCACTCCCCAATAAAACTACTCACTTACTATACAAATATAATGAGATTTTGTCTTTTTAAGCTGATTCATTGTTTCACTAAATTCTATACTTTTCACCCTTTTTTTCCTTCTTGTTTTTAGCTGGTGAAGGCCTGGGGTGCTCACGTGACAGCGGTGTGTTCTCATGATGCTAGCACGCTGATGAAAAAGCTTGGAGCAGATGATGTGATTGATTACAAATCTGGAAATTTGGAAGAGCAGCTTAAAACATTGCCCTTGTACGTGTTTGCATTGCTTAATACTGAGATGAAGGAACTGGCAGGTTGGTCTTTCTGCCTTTTGATTTCTTGGCTCCAGTCTATCAGGACTCCCTCTTCTCCATTTTTTTTTCTCTGTTTCTAAAGCCTTACTTTCTAAAGCAAATTTATCCCGGCCCTTTTCAAATGTAATTTGCCAAGTGGGTATTGCAGGCACAGATTTCATTGTCAGATTAAGCCAGTTAATTGGGATTGTGGAGGCAAGCTCACACTTCTGCGTGCTTCTCTTCAAAGACTGTGATTTGAACAGTTCTGGCAGTTTCCATTCTAGGATCTTGGAGCACTTAAAACGCATGAATAAATTAAAACAAGTCTCAGGAATCCTGTGTGATGTTAGTAAATAGCAAAATTGATCTTGTATAGGGAAGAAGTGTGTCATAAAGCAGTTAAGTGACTTGCCTGAAGTCTTCTAGCCGCTGTGCTACATAACTGGGAGTAAATTTCTCTCTTGTAACGTTGAGTACAGCTGCCTCTGATGAATAATCGCATTTATCTTGTCACAACAGTTATGTTTAAAGTAGCTGGGGGGTTTCTCCTGAACTGAAGCTTTTTTTTGCCTTTGTAATCTTTCCATCTGTTTAAACATGGTCTGCTGTGGCTTTCATTTGAAGATGGTACTTACGTTGCTGTTCTTAGCTAGATGGAATTAATTTGGGAGGAGAAATAGAAATTGTTCAATCTATGAAAGTCTTAGTTAATAACCGTGCTGAGAAGGCCTGTGCCCTTTATCTGCGGTGTGATTGCTGGCAGGCCTGAGATCAATCGTGGGGATATTGGCGCTGTCTGTGTGAGCAGAACATGCAAAAATGAACTTAGCAGTTTGCAAGCAGTGCTAAATTGTGCTAAACATCTTAAATGCTAAACACCCGATCTAGTGAGCAACCGATTTTAGGAGCTATGAACAGTGCTTTATCAGGGTGCAGTTTCACAGTACAGCCAAGCCCATCAGTCAGGTGTACCGAGAGGGATCGGTCCTACAACCTTCTCCCTTTCAGTTGGACTGATTCTTCAGACTCCGTGGCAAGCTGCTTTTTTTTTTTTTCCGGAGCATTAGTTTTCCCTGTTTTAATTCCTATTTTGTTGACAGCTGTCAGGTTGACTGAAGAATAACGTGAAATCACACCCTTGGAAGACAGGCAGGAAAACTGTCTTTCCAGAGATGAGAACTTTTCATTTGCATAAAGGATTTTTCCTCATGTTTGTGGGTTAGCTAAATGAGATATATGTGTACACACAATGTATTTCTATTCCAGTCTGGAGATTTCTGGGCATTTACGGATGAGAATGAGCTGTGCACCTAACAGAATAGGTACTTGCATAGCTCCCAGTTGCCATATTCATCCGTCACAGGTTCGTGTGCTGGGATAGATGAGAATGAATGCTCAAACTGTGGCTTGGCGCCAGAGGCTGCATATACCTGTGCATATACCTACGTTTTAGACCCTTTGTGTTGTTAGGTTCTACTTCAAATAGGTAGATGCAGAGAAGAGAGCAGTTAGTGGAGATGAAATGTCAGTTGATTCATTTGTTTAAGTAACTTTGGCCGCTGGAACTGGCTTCCACGTGAAGGCAGCGTGAACAGGAGATGTTCCTGGTCAGGGCAGGAGTCCAGACGAGTGTTCAGATGCACACAGCCCACCACTGAATGGTAGGACCAGACCTCAAGCCTGTCCCAGTGGTCTCAGTGGGAGGGATGAAGGGAAAAAGCTCTAGAGGGCTTTAGAGAGAGTGCATCTGTGCCTCTACAAGTCTGCTTTTTGGAGCAGTTTAATTATCTAAATAGCCTGTATCTGCTGTGCAGTGAACGGGCAATATCCTGCGATTTTAACTCCCTCTCTACAGTAAATTGGCATTTAGTTGAAGTCTTGCAGGCAGATTGTTTTAATGTATTGCCATGACAAGTAGAAATGCAACATCTGATTTCTGATGTGCCTTATTTTAATCATGATCACTTTCCCTATATCATGATTTCAAGGCTGTTCTTTACATGTCTACAGATTTGATTTCATCCTAGACAATGTCGGCGGATCCACTGAGAAGTGGGCTCTCGATCTCCTGAAGAAATGGTCGGGAGCAACATACGTTACCTTGGTGACACCTTTCTTGATCAACATGGACAGACTTGGAGTAGCTGATGGCATGTTGCAAACAGGAGTCACGATAGGTTCCAAAACTGTAAAGGTATTTGACACGTTTCTATATAGTTGAAAGTTATGTTATATCCTCATGGCTTCCTTTGTGGCTTGGATTCTAGTGACGTGGTTCATCCGGAGGCATCTACCTTATTTTCCTCATAGATCTTTAACCTACAGATGCATTTTTATTCTTCCCTTCTTTCTTGCACCAAAAAAAATAAATATTTGGGATGATGCTGATTTGTATATGTGGTAGTTTGGGGTGCTTTGAAGTTCTGAGTCCTTGTTGTGCTTTTCATTGTAGCCTTTTCCATATGGCCTCCTAGTGAGTCCCGCTGACAGCTAGTGTTTTATGGTAAACAGAACAAATCCCTGCCCCATTGAAGTGAGGGAGGGGTTTTGCTGCTTGCTTTAGGCTGGTCAGGGTTTCTCTCAAACATTGTTCCATGACTGATTCTCTTCATCCTATTCCAGCACCAGCCAGTAATAAAAGTGGTTGAGGGTGGCTAAAAAGTCTTTCATCTCTTTCATGTTCATGTGTCTGGATGGTGATATTGATTTTTCTAGTTTAAAACAGTCTCCCAGTGGCCAGTTCAGCGAGGCTTTTTAGAACTTTTCCCTTTCTTCTCTCAACATGTGTACTTGCTCTCCAAATTAATGCTTTTCAAGCTGTTGCCATGGTTTTCCTGTGATAGAATGGCTGAATGAGTTTCTAGGTCCAGGACCAATATTTTCAAAGGAAAGCTCAAAAATGAAATGAAAAGCCTGGAAAGAAATCATGCAACATTATGCATCATTTTGCAAGTTTCCATGATGTCCTCATTGTATGCCATTTATTAAAAATCAGCTCTCTGTGGTGGATGAAGACTCTTCCAACAACTTTCTCAAAGGAAGTGCTCTTGACTTGTGCTCGTGTGATCCTCCTAAAATGCTTTTCACATGAGCTGCCATCTGTCATCTGATGGTGATGGCTTTGGCAGATGTGGAACATTTAATCACTGGCTCTGAGGTGGAAGGTTCTGAATGCCGTATCGGAGGGTTTATTTCAACCACTTTCTGCATGTGCATAAACATAGAGCACCGTCTCTCTGTTACGTAAGAAATAATGCCATTTGTGGCTGTGGAGACAAGGTCGTTGTTTTTCTCAACTAGCTGACTTGTGCAATTGGACACAAAATTCACCCTGATCCTATTGTGGCAATACAACATCTCTGTCTGTACATTTAATCCATATGCTTAGGTAACATATTTTTTTTCAGACACTGGCAAATAATTTCAGTGTTTTGTTTTGTTATTTTACTTAAATTGTTTTTGTAGTGCTGCTGTCCTTACTTCTATTTCCCATTTCAGTTTCTTCTCATGATTTTAAAAATATGTTTTTGATTTTTCTTGCAGCACCTCCTTAAAGGAGTCCATTATCGGTGGGCATTTTTTATGCCAAGTGGCCCGAGTTTGGATGAAATAGCAGAACTGGTTGATTCGGGAAAGGTATGTCAGTTATTTGTGTTTTTGTGCTGAAAGAGGTACTGCTTTGACTCAAAAACAGTGTAATTCACAGCTGAGGAATAAAATGTTATGAGTCACAGTGAAGAAAACTAGTTAACAATTGATTTGTTACAGTTTCTGGTTTCTGCCTTCAGCAATGAATTTAGGTATTTATAATCCCTAAGGGTGTTCTGCCTTCTCCCTCTCCTTCTCACCCTTTTAAAAAACACAGGAGGTTACAAGGAAAGAACGTCCAGCGCTTGGTTTTAGTGCCAATGGGAGTCATTTAGCATGAACTGTTGAAAATTAAACTCTTTTAGAGGCCTCATTTGGTTCTTTTGGTGAGGATGAACACGACTGTGCGTATAGCTGCATATGCAAAGTTCCCTAGGCTGGATGATCAGGAGCCTTGCACTTAATGTGTGCAGAATGAGAAATTTTGGGTTATTTCAGGTCGGAGATGATCTGCTTTGGCAAAGTGGTGTCGAATTATCCCAGTGCTTCAGAGTATAATGTTTGTGGTGATTCAGCCCAGCGACCTGATACCTTTTGAGTGTTGGTTAGGTTTGGGGGCATCTCAGAGGAGAGGCACGAAGTAGCAGATAGAAGTAGCAGATAGGTTACTGCTTTCCTCATCTTTCCAGGTTTATGAGCTTTGTAGAAGAGGTGTGTGCGAGCACTTTATCACCTGTTCCTGGAATGTGTGGTGCTGTTGGTCCTGGCAGTCTTCTCTCCTGGAGGATTTCATGGTGGCAAAATCTCTAGAGCAGAGAATATGGGCTGGTAATCTTTTTATGTGGAGCCTAAGTAGAGGAGGAAGTTGAGTCTGCCCTGACAGCTCGGAATTGCAGTATGTGAACTGCCAGGCCATCTTGTGCTCAGGGGCTGGGCACAGTTAGAAAAATCTAGCACTCTTGAAGACACTTCGAGTTTAGATCTCCCTTTTCTCTATGTATTATGTTCCCAAATTTTGTACAACAGCAAATACATTTCTGTCATGCTTTTATGACCTGTTTGCCTCTATTTCCCTCTCAGTGCTGCTGGTCAGAGTGAAAATCCCAAATTCAGCCACTCCTACCCCTCTGTTGTGACTGGGGTGCGGCTGATACAGCCAGGGGAGAGTCTGCGTTTCATAAAAAGTTGCCTACTCATACACAGAGCCTGTAGCAGCAAATACACTGTGGTGAAGTTGATTCTGGTTAGTTTTACACAATTCTGCATTGCACTTTGAGCAGTGCCTAAGGCCTTATTCCATAGTCTAGGAAGAAACCCTGGAAGATGCTTCTCGTCCTATGATCTCATCCAAACACACAACTAAATTACAATTGACTAAGGAACAGAAACGTCCTTGTCTTCGTTCCTACCATTTGTCCTGATCCTTAGCAACTTGTTTTGTGTTCTGCTCCTGCCTTGTATGCAAAACAGAAATGCAGAATATGCCTGTGAAAGCTTCTTGGAAAACACCTGTTTATGCAATAGAGATAGGGCTTAACTAGTGTTCGTCTGCCTAATAATCTGGACAGGTGAACTGTAATGCCTTTTTAAAATGTACGTCATGCATACATGAATGTCCTGATGTGCTTTTTGTTGTAAGATGATCGTGGGGATAAAGATGTTTGCTTGTGTGTTTTTTTTCCCAGTTATTATTCTGTGTCTGCTAGAACAGGTCATAATGTCAGGCTGTTTATCTGCATAGTCATTGCTCTACCAGGATTTTGCTCGATTTTGTAAAATATTGTAAACACCTGTGTTGTCAACAGCCTTGTATCCCCGAGATGTGTTGCATTTATACACGTTAGCAAGAATGAGTTTTATTGTCAAGAGACAAGAGTTTTCCTAAATGGACAGATCGTCCATTCAGAAGAGTAGGTGTTTGGAAATAGGGGAGGTGGGAGATGTTGGAGGCACTATACCATAATTTCCTGTAACTAAGTGACGAATAAACGTTAGTGTTTGAATTGGAGCAAAATAAATGAGGATTTTAGGGAAAATAAATAAATAAAGTGTTAGAATGTAGCAAGAAGACTTGGGAAAGCCAGCAAAATGAGCTCATGTAGTTGGACCTAGTTTTGAGTGAGTAGGGATTGGAGTATTGCAGATTTGGTTACGTTGAAATTTCAGTGAATTTTCCTTTCTTCTGTTACAAACATCTTAATTTTGGGATTGTGTGATGTCTGAATAGGAGAGCTTCTGAAAGAGAGGCATTTTTCAGGACAGCATAAATCATGAGGGAGGATTTAAATGAAGGAAATTGCAAAGAGCTGATGGTGTAGAGAGACGATGTTATAGCAAGTGAAGCTTTGAAGAGCACACCCCTGAAGCAGCTGCAGATATCTGTCAGGTGCTCTTTCTGTAGTCCTTTTGCACCAACACAGATTTTTAGTTCTGATGTGTTCCATCACGTTCCTTTGTGAAAGCAAAAGGAATCCCTGTCCTTCAGAATAGGCACAAAGGCTGAAGAACAGGCACAAAGGGGGTATTTTATTTGAAGGTACTTGGGTTTCACACAGGTGATTTTTGCAATGAGGAGTAAGAGATTTGCAAGATTTGCGCTCTGAGGAAGAGTTCTTCGAGCAGCCTTTTTTAACAGGGAGGAGAAGGAAGGAATTTGATGAGCTGGTAGGGCAAAGAAGGAGCATCGTTTTCTTTTTGTAATTTACCTGCACATCAGCTCAGTTCTGGGGATGGTAAAACCATTTTCAGCTTTTGAGCTGTTTTCGCTGCCTTGCAGCATAACATCGTGCCAAGAGACTGTTGTGAGGCTGATGGGCCAGGAAGCTGTTGCAACAGCAGTGGACAGGCAGAAAATCACATATATTCTTGTCAATTTTAGAGATAGTGGCCTACTTTTATATCTGTTGAGATGTCTCTTCTGGGGGTTCATCTCAGCCAGTTAATTACAAGCCAGTGAGGACTGGCTTAACATGGGGCCCACCAAATCAATTGATGAAACGAATGGCAGGAGCTGGGGATCTCTTCCCATGGCAGAGCATTCCTTACAAATTGCGAGGCTCTCAGCTCAAGACAGCTGAAATCAATAGAGCCTTTGGTTCAGGACATAGATTTGCTGGCATACCATTTGCTGAAGCATTGCCACCGGTCTCTGCTGGCAGCGTTGTCACTGAAAGGCTTGGTAGGGATTAGTTTGATGTATTTGTGATGAGCGTTGTGGGTTTGACATTGACAGTCTCAATTTTTGCTGCTTAACTTCTTGCTCCTTTCTGAAGTTGTGCCACTTAGTCCCTGGCGAAAATGTATCAACCTCATATAAATTGGTAGAAAACCTTTAATTTATAACTGAGCACACACTTTGCCTTTTGTAAAGCCTGGTGGAGGACGGCAGGCTCATGAGTGTAATAAGAGGAAAGTACATGTAGGTTGCTACGTGCTTGCTGGACCATGGCAGAGTTTGGGTTCGTGTGATTTCAGAGAAAGGAAGAAGTAAGGTCTCAGATCAAGAGAGGATCACCCTCTATTGTTGCCTTTCCAAATAAATGTTACAGCACAGGCACACCTAAGGAAAGCAACTGGATGTGATACTGGGCATACTTTTTGCTGCAGAGCCTGGTTGCCTGACTTAGCAGCCTGCTTTTGTGGATCCAAGGCTAGGATGCGCGCTGTTCTTCGGCCCTGCTGTGCCTCTTCCAGTGCAGTACTGTACATACTCATTCCCACGAGCATCCTTCTCCGTGCTGAATTGCGAAGCTTGTAGCTTTTACTTTAATTTTGTGTCTTCTTGTTGCAGTGCTTTTGCTTGCCAGGGTGGGTTGTTGGCTAGAGCCCAGAGTTGATAACCAAGGAGAGGTTGCCAAAGACTCTGTTCAGTCCCGTCTCTTCAGAAAGCAGCCTCTCTCTGCATTTAATTATGGCCAACAAAAAGCAGTGATTTTTATTAAAACGCATCTGCTTCTGTGCCTACGAGTGATGTGGCTTGCTCATTCTCTTTACGAAGGTGGAGTGGGATTATGTCACAAAACGTCTGTGAGGAAGACTAGTGGAAACCTTACAAACTGGAGAAATAGCATTCGAGTGTGTGAGCTCACATAAACCATGAGGAGGTCTGGAAAAATTCAGCTGATACCTGGTGTTTAATCAAACGTGCTGCCTCAGCCTGATGTAATTGTGTATTTTGTAGAAAGTGAGCTCCCCACCATCTCCTAGTGGGGAACTATGTCCACCAAAGCGGTGAATACAGGGCCGAGAAGACAGCTCGTGTCTGCTGTGGTTTAATTTGCTGAGGCCTAAGGAGATGCAGGTCATAAGGGAATGTTTTTATAAAATCTGTAAAATATATAGCATGCTTTTCTATATTTCATACTAAATATTTGGACTAAGCTGGCATGCAACCCCTTCTGGGCGTGCTCCAGGTTCGTACTGCTCTTCATTGTGTTGTGTAGAAGCTGTTGTCAGGGCCAGGTAAGGGACGAGAGGTTTTTAAACCTCTTCACACTCTGAACCATAGCCTGCTTAAGTAGGATTTATCTTCTGGTATTTTAATACTTGTAGTTGATACTCGGATACCCAGTTGATACCCAGTGTTCTTAATGTGCATGGAGTGAAAGTACACTGGGGAAGGGTGTGCTCAGCTAAAGGGAAGAAATGACAGAAACAGCAGTTTCTGTCGGAAACAGAACTCAGCATCTTGAAGGGGGAGACTCACTGACGGCCAAAGCAGGGTATCAGCCTCTGCATTCGTGCCTGGGCTCACGCACCACGTTTGGGCAAGGTAATTTCTTCATCCTCCTGCTCGGTGAAGTCACAAGGGCCGGCTGGCCTTCTCCGTCAAAGGAAGCCCTGGAGGACGTTGAGCACGGTGGAGCACAGCGCCCAGGCCGTCAGCAGGGTCGTGCCAAGGCACAGCTCGTGTGCTGGGGGGCAGCAGCTGGAGGGAGGCACTCTGCTGAGCAAGGCCACCCTTCACAAACCTGGGGAAGAGCCAATGCTCCGTCATCGCCCTTGGAGTCAGAGGACTTCTGTCTTTTTGTTTCTGTCTTTTTGTTTCTCTGTGGGTCTCTGGGGTTTGGTTTTTCTCCCTTCTGAGAAGTTCAAGGCTCTAGGTCTCCCTCCAGCGGCAGGCAGCGGCTCCAACCTGACTCACAACTTGTTAATAGCGAGGGTCAAAGCTTTTGTCATTCCCTTCATGCTTTCTTGCTTCTCCCCTCCTAATTAATTCAAAGTGGAGCCTTGCTAGCACAGAAATGGAGACCTCCGAGGGTGGGCTTGACTTTGCTGTTAGCTGGAGCGTTTCTGCTGACCAGTCAGCTCCTGCAAGGTCTGCTCACAGCCTGCCGTGCTCACAGGAGGATTGGGTATGAGGCCACATCAGTGCTCTGTGCCTTAATCAGCACCAGCAATTACTCTCTTTATTTTTTGAAACACATGAGTTTGTTTCAAGAGACCTAAGATTTATTTCTATATGTTCTGCATCAGAGAGAGTGAAGAGGAAGAAAACATCTTTCAGTCCCAATGTGTTTTCTGATAAACATTTCAGTGCGTGCGTGTGTAATCCTTTCTCTCCCAGACTTTAGCTTAATCCCTTTTCCCTGAACAAATAGGTGTCCCCTGGCAAGGAACTGATGTGCGGCTGTAAATAGGCAGTGTTTTTATTATCCAGTTAATCTCCATTTTTCATCGCACATTCAACAAACAGCAGACGCTTCCCTGCTTGTTTGTCTGCTCACAGGAAGAAATTTTATCTTAGTCAGTGGATTATGGTAAAGGCTGAGTGAATCACTGTGCCGCAACATGGTCAGCCCTTTCGGGGTTATTCAAACAATGGCGCTGAGCAGCCAGCCAGATAAAACCTTTAATGCTCTAGATTGTCAGGATCATCAGTTCAGTATTCACGGCCCTCTATAGCATTGCCTACAGCCAGCGCTTAAATGGCACGAGGGGTGACAGCAGCGTGGCAGCAGATGGGCGCTCGGGGTTGGGGGGCTGTGGTTTGGAACCACTGGGCTGAATTTGGGGTTCCTCCGAGTCCCCGTGTCACCACTTTGCAGATGGGGTGCCCTGAAGGGCGTGAAGCAGGGCTTTGTTAGCTGCCGTTGACAAGAACCGCTTGTGCAGGCACTGCACTCGTGCACGGCCCCACAAGGTTATGAAGGGAAGGGTCGGTCTTCTTCCCAACAGGCCCTGCTGAGCAGCACGTGCCTCCTGCCCATTGTCACGCCGTTCACTCAGCTGCTCGCCTTACCCCAAGACATTATCTCATCCAAGTGCTTTTGCTGCCAGGGGGCCCTGAGATGACTCCTCTGTGCTGTACGCTGGCTAAATGGGATTTTGTCTTGAACTTAGAAGAGCTAGCTGCACCCCCAGCTAGTGTTAATGTTTTCCTCTGGTGAGAGGATTAGGAGCAGTGGATCAAAGTAAAAGTGTGCTCTGGGCTGATATCAAGGTCCAAGGTAAGAGACCCAGCTTTGGGAGGCAGTTTTGTATGCAGAGCTTTTGTTGGCCTCCGGAAGGATGATTCAGAACGTAATGATAGTCTCTTCTCTTGGACTGGCAGTGACAAATATTTTTCAGAAGCAGCTGGGATTTCTTTTCCCTCCACTGTGGGATCTAAAGAAAATGCTGGTAGGGTTTTCTGGCTCCTTAGTCCACGATGGGCACAGCAAATATGGTAATTTCACCTTCCTTATTAGCAATTGCTCTAAAACAATCCAGAAAGCTACTCTACAAAATTAATGCCAAAATAGCAATTGATGCAAGCTGGGCTTAATGATCTATGCCCACTGGAATACACAGTGGCTGAGTTTTCAAGTGCATCTGAATGATTCAGCAACAAACATTAGTGTACTTTTTTTTGTACTTCATTTGTGGCCAGGCCTTTTGAAGATACCAAGGCACGTACTGATGCAGATGGGCACTGGCTTCATAGGTATCTTCAAAACATCCAACCCTTTGAAAATTCTTGGGTTTAAAAATAAAACCCTTATAGAAATAAGAGTTTAGAGCCTTGCATGGTGAGTTTATTTTTAGAGGCACAAGGTAGGGCTCTGATCTGTGTTACTGAAGAGGTCTCAAAACTTGGGCAGAGAAGGGACCGTGGAAAAGAAGTTAAAAGCTAGTCACTACATCAAGCAACTTCTGGCTTAAACACTATTGAGAAACCTTCCCCTTCCTTTATACAGCTTTGAAATGTGAAGGTGCTACAAGTCTGTTATTTTATTCCTAATGTAGTAATGCTTTACCCTGCAGATTCAACCAGTTATCGATCAAGTCTTCCCTTTTTCTGAAGTTCCCAAGGCCTTTCTGAAATTGGAAGAAGGACATGCGCGTGGAAAAACAGTGATCGATGTTGTTAATAAAAAATAAAATATCGCTAATCACTGTACTGCCTTCAGTCATCCTTAACTGGTAAATGACACTTGAGCATGAAGTGGTACGGAGCAACTGTTTTTTCTTACAAAGCTCTTAAAAGATGCACTGTTTTAAAAAAATCACCTTGTTTCAGAAGTCTCTGATTTCTTTGTATTCTTACTAACTGTGAGTACTCAGGCAAGAAACACTGTCTCTTCAGGTGTTTCTATATGAGAAACATGTTGCAAATGTAGTTGTGACTGTTGCAGGATGTTCCTCATTCTTGGGACATGAGCACAGCAACATCTTCAATTTATAGGTCTTAGAAGCTTTTGTTTTCTAGGTATTTTTAGCTAAATGTTGAAATGGTAAGACACTTAGATTTGATTGTCAATATGAAACTTGTGTAGTCCTTTTTTCCCTTTCCTCAGTTCTGTTCACCGTTGTTCATATATAGAGTAACAGATACTAATAATCTGCCCAGTTCATTCTCAGGACCTGTGTGAAGTAGCCATGGTGCTGTCTCAGGACTACTTCAAGCTTGATGTACTTGGACCAAGCGTCTCATGACATAACTAATCTGAGCAGAAGCATGAACAAAATCGGTCTGTAACTGGTAATTATTCTAATTGTCTAACTCTCAGTACAGATTCAGCTGACTACAGTGTTCAGGTGGGTAGGGCAGACGTGATTTTGTCAGTAATCAGACCTGGTTCCTTCCGTGCCCTCTATCACTGCTGCTGGAGTTGCAGAGTCTGAGGGGTATGTGACCCTTGGTCTGCTTTTAGATTTACCTTCTTGTCAGAGGTGGGAGGGAGTTACTTCTGTGCAGGCAGATCAAGGGGAAGCGGTAACCTCTGAGTTGAGACCTGCACAGTTAATGTGGTGCAGCGATGAGGACAGGAAAACCACGTCACGCAGTGCACCTACCAGGGGACAGAAGCAGCAGCCATGGGATCTGCGGCCCCATCTGCAAGTGCACTGAGCAGCTGGTTGTGTAAGGGAGGCAGCCCTTCCTCAGAGCCCGCAGCTATTCCCCACCCTGCGTTCATTCATTAGGCAGCTGCAGCACAATAATTACAGCCAGAGAAAAGAGACAGAAGCAAAACTGTTGAATGTTAGATTTTTAACTTAAAAATAATTTCAGTGAAGTGTTACCTAACTTATATTTATTTATGAAATGCTATATTATATATAGCAAGAGCACATCAACATGACAAAGTGCCACTGCTTGGAACCAATAACACATTCGCTATGAAGAACTAAAAGCAACACACGAGAAGGAACAAAACTTCTGTACAAAAGGAAGAAAACTAGCGAAGCACTTCCTCCGTGGTGGTAACAACGAAAGCACCAGTACCCTCTGAGGCAACACAACAGTCACGAAAGCGTTACTTTCGGACAGACTCATTGTGCCAGCCGAAGGCCTGATGCTCCTAGGAGCAGCATGTAGTAACACTGGTCCAAGCCAGAACAAAACACAGCAGCATGTACAAAAGTTTCTTCGTATTTTACTTTTCTGCCAACATCATTAAGGAACGCTAACAAATAGGTTCAGCACCGGGCAACGGAGGAACCTCCAGGAGTCACCTGAGTATCTCTCACTTGCCACAAGTTCTTCACTAAACCTGCAGTGCTTAACTCCGAATGGGTGCTGCCCCTGTGCCCATGACAAGTATCCAAGCTTGGCGGGCTGAGGGCTCCTTCCAGCAGCCCACCACAGACACTCAAACATCACCCGGACTACCAGGGAGTCTGGCATCCTACTCAGTAAGCCAGAGCACAGGCCAAAAGGTGGTGGCTAAAAAGGGCACTGTGCTTAGATGCTTTTGCAGTCATGTTTAATGATAGTTTCCTTAAGAATTTATTTTTTTTTTTCCCCCCTATATGGCAAATGATTCTAGAGTTCAGGAAGACTACATTTACTGGAGCTGTTTTAAAAGGTAAAAACTTGACTTGGCAAAGAAGTAAAATACTTGTAACAAAATATCAGGCAGCCTAGGAAGTGGGCAGGCAAGTTCTTCACATTCTTATAAATTATTTTGTCAGTCCTGTATTTTTCTAAAACACATCTACTTGTTTATATCTTCTCTCTACGTGAGAAAATCATATTTATTTTTTCTTAATTTAGGACTTACTGTTTTAGCATACTATTAGCAAAGATTTGAAGGCACGTGTTAAAAATTCTTTGGATTTGCTGTGTGCTAGAAGTCTTTAAGCTTTCAGTAAACATAAGTTTGTTCCAGTGAAACAAATATATTAATTTTCAGTAGTGAATATTCCTCTATCCTACAGCCCATAGGCCTAAGTCGCTATACCCACATACACATTGCACTCCTGTCCTTTATAAAATAAGCTTTAATTAATGTTTTTAGCCCTTCTCTCAGTTAAAAAAGAAACTTTAAAAAATAATTTAAAATTACACTTCTTGACTATTCTGGATTAGCTACTCCCTGACATGATTGTAACTGTGGGGTCTCTCCCACCTCTAGTTCATCCGCGCTGGCCTGAGGCACGCCACCATTCCCTATCTCCCTTTGCACTGTGACGATTACAAAAAGGCTGAGAGATACTCAAGCTTTCATGGGGTTAATAATGATAGCTAGCGAGGTGTGAAGTCATTCTGTTGCTTGCTCTTTTTAACTGCAAAGAAAAGACAGAGCTCTCGTTGTTGATCCTGCATCCTTCCAGGCTGGCAGTGCCGATGCTAGCGTCCAGAATAGCGCCCGATCCGCACGTCGCCGCTGCTCGTCTGGAGTTACACGACGAGTGGTTCCCAGCACTGCGTCAGCCTTTCTTCATTGACTGTGTTGACGACGACGTGATCGCGATCGTACTGCGAGCCCCCTGCGAAGGAAAATTCAAAGAGCACAGTCTATCTGTGAAATCAGAGGCAGCTCCTACTCTTGGTTTCAGGGCTGCTCTAAGTGCTGATGCAGGCAGTTTCTCCCTCTCCCCAAAGCACTGTAAAGACGAACTAATTTTCATCACCGCCTGCTTTTGGCATTTCTTTGAAACAGGGAGGCCTGCCTGCTCCTCTCCACCACCCTTCAGTAAGTCAGTGCTTCCTTTCCTGTTCAGGCTGAAGAAAACACGAATACTGTCAGGTCTAACTCTGTTACAATGGCCACTTCCCAGAAGTCAAAGTTGGGTTTCCCCACAACAGCTGTCACTTTGCTCTCAAGGTGATGTTTACACTATGTATGGAAGTAGTCCTGCTGTTAACAGTTTGAGCAAAACCATACAAAAAATAAATACAAAATAAGCCAAGGGATGGTCTGGTACTCATTTATGCGTAACCACTGTAACCCTGTATTTTGACCAGCCGCATCACAAGTTGCTGTACATAGCCCATCACCCGATGTCCAGCTGTTCCCACTGGTAGCTGAGTGCACCTGACTGCAAAATGCTTACATTTCTTCGATGGGCTTAAGTTACTCACTTTATGCAATGCCAAACATGTTCCTGTAGAAGAGCGCTGTTAGAATACTAACTTCAGCTCAGAAGTAAATGAAATGTTAAACCAGAACTGAAGTCAGAGGTGACTTTTTTTTTAATCTAGTATGTACTGCAGAGGCATGAGGTGCATACATCTTGCACACCTGCAGTAGCAGGCACTGCTCTCACTGAAGCAGCTGCCTACACAGAGCACCAGGATGCTCCCATGGACACCCTCCTTCCTTCTGCACCTCCTCTCCCATGCCTTCCTACAGCCTCACCTTCCCAGAATGAGCAAAAGATGTGCCCGGCAGCTGAAAGCCTGCTCTGAGCATCACAAATACAGATTACAGCAGATCCCAGAGACGTGCTAAGTACTGAGCCCTACTTGGTCAAGCACATTTAATAGCAGCTCTTCTGTACGACGGAAATGCCACCTCAGGCACCGTAGCTGATCTCCCCTTTAGGAATCTGGGGGAAGATTCCAAAATCATCACCATCCCAAATCATAAAGGGTCTCTGAGAAGGTTAACAGCAACATGATTTGCCTCCTTCCCATCACCAACCAAGTATTAAACAGCAGCAGAGATACGCGGCGGAAACATTTGAAAGCTCTTCAGGAACAGGAAAAAACTTTAACCAGCAGCTATAAAAAAAATAACGTTAGTCCTGTAGCTCAGTTATCACTGCGAGGGCAAACAGTCCGTTGTAAGCAGTATCTGGTAGACTATAAACAGGTAATAAAGGGAAAAGATAAGATTTCTTTCAGCGGAGCTCCGGGTTCCTTTGATGGAGCCGTGCTCTGGGCAAGGCACTGCACCATGCCGAGTATCCACAAGGTGGCATTGGTAACGCACGGTCGAACACATTCATTTGCTGAAGAATTCGTCAAAGCTCAGTTTGTGGTCAAGAACAGATCAGCAAAACTGGCAAAAACAGATAAAGTTCCTACTACACTTTCTCACATAAAAGCTAAATGGAATAGATTAGCAAAATTATGATCCTACATAAAATTATGTTCCTACATAATTCTGCTGAATGCATCTGAACTTTTGTCATCAGACCTACCCATGGCGAAGTCCTTCAATTAGTGCAGAATGTGTAACGTGCTTTTAACATGATTAACTCAAGACAAGTCGGTGCAGCAGTGCTCCTGCTTTTTGGAGCAACTCAAAACTGACTTTAAAAAAAAAAATGTACGCAGAGTCATTGTGAATCTAGACTCTCCTTTGTCTCCTCTCAGGGTCTTTCTGATAAATTTTTATGGCAGTAAAGCGAATTTATGACTATTAGTGCCAGCGTTGTATCACGGTCAGCCATCACATAGCCCTTACCTCACAGTTCTGCCAGTCCCGTCCCTGTTAGTCCCAAAGTGCTGACTGTTGATTGGTAATTTTTGTTGTTGTTGTTGTTGTGTTTGTTTCTTTTGCAATTGTTATAGCTGATGTGTCACAGCATCAATCCAAAATTACTTCTTAAATTATTAAAGAATTAACAGCTATATGATTAATATCCCCAAAATGCAGAGTTATGTAGGAACATCTAATCACAATTTTGCTAATCATTCCATTTGCTGCTTTATCAGACCTATGAAATTATGAAAGCCAACGCAGTTCAGAAGCAGTATCTACATGAAACAAATTGCTGTGACAACAGCTACAGTAAAACATGCACAGAATTAGGCTGCTACAACAGAATCTGA